TGATAGGTCCATTTAACATGACACAAAAATCCTACACTAAATATTACATAAGTAAATCCAATAATGTATTTTAAAAATAATAATGCATCAGGATTAAGTAGGTTTCTCCTAGGAATTCAAGGATGGTTCAACATCAGAAATAGATTCAGAAGAGAGAAACCAGATGATAATCTCAATCAATAAAGACTCAGCATCATAAAATTCAGCAAAAGACAAAAAAACTGTGTAATTAATAAAAGGTTACATGGGAGAATATCTATGTGAGCTAGGAACAGGGAAAAACTTAAAAACCCATAAAGTATATGATCAATTTTATCATATTAAAATTAAGGATTTTTTGTTCAATGAAAGACACCATAGACAAATAGAAAATGACTAATTGACAGAATGGGAAAAGAGATTTGTAATGCCTAAAATGGAAAAGGGGTTGCTATAGAGAATAGATAAGAAATATCTGCAAACCGACAACAGAACAGTAACCCTGAGAGAACAATAGGTAAATGATATAAAAAGGCAATTAACAGAACTTAATCTAGACTACAAAAATGACAAAGTTGAGTAATTCTACCTGTCGGCAGGAACGAGAAGACATAAAAAGCTCCATGCATTCTGGCGGAAGTGCAGACTGGCGTAATCAGGCTGGCTTGAGTCAAAGCCTTGGTTAATAAAGAATGGCTCTCCTGACTTGCGTATCCTCTATGCACGTTTCTTTCTGGAGAACTTGACAGGGGAAAATGGCTGGTCTAGCACAGGATTTAGGTCCTAGATATTTTAGGTCCTGACCAGCCATCTCTACCTGAATCATGTAAACCTGATATCACTGCACTATCCACTCAGTCTAAAAGAAAGAAAAGCAAAATCCTACTGTATCTTTCTAACATAGGTCTAGACAAGGATTTACATTTTTTAATGAGATTTTAAAGCATTGGCAAAAAATACTGTCCAAAAATTGTGATTGATGGGAAATTGCTACAGATTTAAATTTTAATATAATTTCTGAAGCAAACATGACTGCATTCTAGTTGTACCAACCATCATTATACACAGTGGAGAGCTGGGAAACAGAAAGAATAGAAAAGATCTGATCTCAGAATCTATAAACATTAGCAGAAAGAAAATGAAGAAATTTATCTACAAGAAGAAGAAGGGTTCCTGACAGAAGAAAGGTTTTTTGGGATTTCAGTAACCCTGAAGTATCATAGGAGACTAATCATATGTGTCTGTTTTCTCAGCCAAAGGGAAATGCAATTACTTTTTATCCAAGGAAAGAGAACTTCAACCTAGGCACTGAACAGGCCAGTCACTGAAAGAAGATGAATCTTAAGCGAGAAAAGGGGCTCTTCCTGACTCCTGAGGTCAGTAGTAGATCAATTCAAACCTCAGAAGGGTTCAAGGATTCCATGCAGATTGTCCATTCAGAAAAGAGCTGAAGGTGGCCAGGAGACAGAATAATAGTGAAGGGTCACCAGCTCCACATTCAGACCCATGTTCAGTCATGAGGGTACTGATGGAGGCTTGTCTCCAGAGCATAAAAGTGAACAAGATCTGGGGCAGGCCCTACTAGGAGGATAAGAGGAAATGTACATCATAACCTGATTAGGGCATGGTCACCAAGATTCAGAGACCAAAACTGTTACTAAAATTCTGATGATGAAAAACACACAGAGCTAATATGGCCGAGCTGTTATCACTGGGCCATGATGATTTTTATCCTTTGGAGTTTACAAACCAGGCAACCATTACTCACTCATCTGATATCAAAGAAAATGTATCAGGACTGTCTCCAGTCTCTAAGCAGATGGCACATTTCTGTGCTGACAAAAACACTACTGCCTGGAAAGTAGTAGAAGCTCAGCACTGGGAGGCTGTGGGACGGGACCTACAAAGGGAGCCCAGGTCTTTGGCTCAGCGTCTCTCAGGGACTAAGGATGATGCAGATCCTGCTGTCTTCCTGAAGAAATTATTGTGTGGGGCTGAGATGCCCAGAGAAACTTTTCTCTTAATGCAACAACAGGCACTTGCTGCAGACAGCTGAAGCGACTACTCACTTACCAGAGAAAACGGTAGTTATCTTAAAGCTATGAATGTTTCCTGGGCAAACAGGGGTTTATAACGCATACACATGTACTAGTAACATTTGCTTTGGATAAAGAAACATGGTATTAAAACAAAAGTAAGGAAATAAAAACACTCCTTTGAACACAAGTGTGAAAGAGGATAAGTAATCCATTTGCAATTACAACACAAAGCAAAAACTTTTCTAGAAGTCTAAGGAAATGTTCTTAAGGTTGGGGTTTGTTTCAATAGCAAATTTCAAAACCTTAAATGGTGCAAAAAGTACTAACATCTTAACTGTAACCAGATTTTATATTATCCAGACAAGAGAATCTGGTTAAAATATCCTAAAAAACATCGTGATTTTTAAAAGAGCAAATTGCAATTTTCCTAAATATCAAGAGGGCAAGAAATGAGAAACAGCCATGTGGTTTCACAAACTCTCTATTTAGAGATTCATAGGAAGGAGAAATTTGTACCAGATACTGAGGGAAGGATTAAGGCTGTTCCCTCAGTCAGGGCTAGTAAGGAAGCAATATAAACAACAGTAGGATAGGAAGACCATACAAGGAGTAAAGAAAAACCACGCCTACCGTGGACTTGTAAAGACTCAATGATATTGATTTATAAGAGTGAAGGAGGGGAATTACAATAGAGGCAAATCAAGAGCACATTTCCACAAACAAAGGGCAAAGTGAATTATTAGTATCCACCCTGAGCATCAATTTTGCCATCACTTCCACCCATCAGTATCTCCTTGCCCTTATATTGGTACCAACCACTAATGAGAAATCAAGGCATCGTATCCCTTCACCCCAGAGCCCAGGGGAGAAAGGGTTGCTGAGGTCTGCCAAGTTCAATCATCAGAACTCCATTTCCACGAAGTAGTTTTAAGCCAAATACTCAGTAAGTTTTAAAGTGCTCCTTTGCCTGACTTCAGACTGCAAGTATCTCTTTCCCTTGGTGATCTTAATGATGAAGGACTTGGCTAGTTAGGGTCTTGGTTATTTCCCTCTCTTCTCATAGAAAAGACATGACTCACAGTATTGACGCCATTACGATAATACACATGCACTCTAAAAAGAGGGTTACAGAATCCAACTGTTTTTAAAGGAAGAAAAAAGAAACAACAGAAATTGAAATTTCAAAGGACAGCATCCAACGGAAATTGGTTGGGCCCTGAACAGTGAAACCACTAGTTATCTAAGCAGGCCATATAAAACAAAAAGGACCTGGGTGCCCTGAGGTCGCCACACCTGGGAGTCGATGAGAAAGTGCAGCCTCTTCATTCAGAAAGAATTTCAAAGGTGGAAAGGTAAGTGATACATGTGTTCAGGAAATGTCTGCTGGCCCAGGCCACTACCTAGCCGGCAGTGGAGAAACAGCTGATCCTTAGGCAGTCACCTCCTGGAATCACCCCAGCCTTATTCAGGATGCCATTTGAGGGGTGCTCACCAGTCCCTATCACAGGGTGTCTGCTGAATATCCTTTGGTAATCTTCTGGCATTTCTTCTAGCCTTTAGTAGGGACTGTGCCAGAAACTTCTTCCTGATAAAAAACTAATAATCTAGCTGGCCTAGCCAAGTCAATCTTTTCCATTTCATAATATACATAAAACTCAACCTGGCTGGAAAATACCCACCCTGTGTTTAAAACTTCTTAGAAATCTATACACTGAAATATTCCAATTTTCATTGCTACTTCCCCTCACATTTCCCAGTGTGTGGTCAGGTAGAGCCCTTGGTCGCAGCTCCTTGCCAAGTGTTGGCAATTGCTGTCCTCTGCATTCAGAGGACCCATGGCTTAGATTTTGATCAGAGAAAATAAGACTGGCTTTTTTTTAAAGGTTTAAAATCAAAAGACACTTTGTGAATGTGATTGAAAAAGGGGTCATATACTAAACCTGACAAGCTCAAGGGAGGCCTGCATGGCAGCCTTACAAACTCAGAGACCTAAAGTAACAACACAGGGTGGTCTGAGCATAAAACTTTCTAACTAAAAGTGGATCGTGGTGGGTAGTGATGTCCTAGGCCTGTAGCTTCCTTGACAAAGATCAATCTTTAACTTTGAAATTGTCCATTGTGTCTGTGCATCTAAAATAAAGTATCTTTGAAATGCCAGAGTAATGTTTTCCAGGCCCAGAGCCCCTCATGGTTATCTTGCGCCCCACATACTATCTCTATGTGCTGCAAATGTGAATCATCCCGTACCCGCCAAACTGAAAGAAGTATGTGTCTCTTCATTTTGCTTTTTAACCAATCGCAGAGGTTTCCCTGCTTTGCCTTCTCCTGCCCCCTTAATCTACCACCCATGAATTTCACGTAACCCTCCTAACATCTCCTCCTTTGATTCTCATGTGTAAAATAAGCTGCAAAACTGCCATTCTCCGGAGCATTTTCTCAATCCATTTAGATTTTCCTTCCCAGTGATTGTCATCAGTCTGACTCAAATGAACTATTATAAGACTTTTTCTTAGACTGAACGTTCTTTCATCGACATAAAAATAATTTACTTATCAAATTTAAAGTGATCCATTCACACCACCAATTACATAAATACTTTTCAAATGTACTGAGTTAAAGAAAAATACAGAGTATTTTCATAAGGATTTTAAAGATCAGTTTAATCTGTTCATATCAACCATAAGGTGGGACTGGGCTCATAACAGGAAATTTCAGGTTAGTTATCAACACAACTCAAAACCTATTAGGAAATGACAACAGCCACCACCGACCACACAAACCACCAGTGGCACTGTTGTTCCTCCTCATAACCAGCAGCTGAAAGTCTGTCAAAGATCCCCCTTTCCTAAAAGTTGACACAGGTCAGAAATTGGGAAGATACCAAATGCGTTGTGTGATTATTTCTGGAGCACAGAGAGAATTTCAGTACCTAAAATGATCAATTTACTAAAATAAAATGTCAGACAGCAGTCCAGCACTCACCTTTTTCATGAACGCAAACTGAGAGTTTCTTAACACCATCAACCAGGACATTTTGTGTGTTGCCATGTCCATTTTCTGAATTGCTGTCATCAAACTGAGCCTCTATAATGACATCAGGGCTGTCATTATGGCCTTTCAGGGACTGCTGCAGGAGATGGCTTCCACAGAGTTCCTCAGGGAGATCTGATTCATAGGTACCTTCTGTTTCCTTGTCACTGCTCCCTGGTTTAATTACCTGAAGAAAACAGAAAAGTTCTGCTAAACCACTGGAGGGAAAAAAGGGAAAGAGTAGATTTTTCTTTCCTAAGGAAAAAACTGCATATTTGGAAGCTCCATCATCAGACACGCACCATGTAGTTTGAAAAAGGGTCCTTATTTCCCAACATACAGGCCACCTTATGGAAATGATCGATCCGGCAGCACCAGGTTGGCACTCAGCTCTGCGAGATGCCCAAGATCAGCACTACACACACTTCTCATTCTTCTGATGTACCTTTCCATCCCCTCTTCCCTAGAGGCCCAAATACCAGAAGTACCATGCTACGTCATGAGGGTTCCTCACAAGGGACCAATAAGAGAACTCAACATGGGCAATAATAAAAGAACTCAACACAGCATGTCGCTGCACTCCCAATGAAGCCACAAGAATATAAGATAACATGAAAAAAAAAAGTGTGAACAAGAGTTTACAAAATGTTCTCATATAAAACATAAACCCTTAATTCTCCTTTTTGAGGCCTGAAATCGGTAGGTATAGAAAACACAACTGATGGACATTTACACTAGCAGGAAGAATGAAGCACTACACAAAGTCAAATATTTGCACACACTAACTGATTTGACCCACACAATGACCCCAGGCGATACAGAGGAAGACAATTATATCCATCTCAGAGGAAAAAGCAAGTTCAGAAATGTCACAACCCCACAGCAACTAAATAGCAGAGCTGTGAAGCACACAGATCTAGGGCTCTAGGTCCAGTGCTCGCAATCGTGGATACTCCTATGGGGGATCTCCTGCAAACAGATTCAGAGTGAGCTTTGCACAGCCAGCTTCTCACCACTAGCATCCATTGCATACAATGCCTCTGCATTGTCTGTCTGCCTGGCAAATAACCAACATTCAGGACCCAGTTATTCTGTGAATGTTTCTCTGACTATGCTCCCTCTCTTAGGAAATGTTCTATTTCCTTCCTTTGCTCCAAGCTATCCCGTGGCTATTCTTTCATTACAAGGCTTCTTGATCAGGCTATACTCCATTTATCTATTTGCATACTTCTCTCTCCAACCAAGCAGCAAACCAGGTCATGTTCATTTTTTTTTTAATATTCCCTAGAGGCTCCCAAAACTTTTGGCATATAAAACATGCTCAGTAAATACTGGTTTCCTTTTCCCTTCTTCTGAAGAGAATGAAAAAGACTTAAATCAGCTGTAAAAGAAACGCTCTTTAAAAATTGCAAGAAATGAATGAAATAACTACCAAGCAGCAAGCGCCAGCTAAACTGAGATGCTGTGTAGCATGATACTGCATTCTCCCCATTAATCACTATGTCCAGAGACCAGGAGTCACCTGTTATTTTTTCACAGTTGAAACTTATCACCATAAGAAGGAAATATAAATACAAAAGCAAATGAATAAAAATGGAAGCCATTTAAATAAACGTATTTTTCTAAAATAACTCTAGAGCTTCATATCTAAATTATAACTGTAGTTTCAAAAAAACCTCAAAATAACTATAAAGTTCATTCCCCAATTTGAAAATAACACTTTTAGCAAGAAGAGTCACAAATGCCTATATAAGTAAGAGAAAGTAGCCCAGCCAGCATGGCTCAGCTGTTGAGTGTCGACCCATGAGCCAAGAAATCGCAGTTCCATTCCCAGTCACATGCCTGGGTTGCAGGCTTGATCCCCAGTGGGGGGCGTGCAGGAGGCAGCCAATCAATGACTCTCATCATTGATGTTTCTCTCTCTCTCCCCCTCTCCCTTACTCTCTCTGAAATCAATAAAGACATACTTTTTAAAAAAAAGAAGAGAAAGTATAGATCTGAGCACAACTTCCAGGGACTTTTCCTGATTCCTACAGAGTTGTGAAGTACCGATCCATCCCTTAGAAAGGGGGGAAAACATCTACACTGAGCTGTAAATTAGATCAACTACATATAGAAACTGAAACTTCCAGAATCAAGAATCTGGCCACTTCAAAACTATTTGATATTGATTAGATTTTCTTCCCCTTCCTTTTAAAATTAATATAGTAAAGTACTGCAAGACTGGACAGAAAGAGTCCCTGTAACCAAACAATTCCAATGGAAACCTAAGTAAAAATGCCAAGTAACATTTCTACCACATATGGTTTACCCAAACTCCAAGCATGACACATTTCAGTTTCCCCACTTACTGACATAGAAAAGCCCTTCCTTGAACATAAAAGCCATCTTTGAAGAGTGCTATTTTAAATCTTATAAAAAAAAGAGCAAGTCTACATTAGCACTGGAAAATTCTGTTTCAGCCAATTCTATTACATTCTCCTGGGGTAGGGGGTTGCTATCAATTGGGAATAATGGAGCTTTTCCAGAAGATTGACATATACCTGTCTACACACACTTTCTGCTGACAGGGCTCTTTAGTTGAGCACAGTGTTGGCTGAAGACTTCGCACAGGAGATAATGCCCTGCCCATCCCACTACTTGAGCCTCTGGTTCGAACCTAATGCATGTCAAAGTCCACCAAGGAGCTGCTTTTCATTTCTTGGCTCCTCTGGCCAGGTTTAAGTGACAGCAATCACATGCCACACATGTTTGAACAGAATTTCAAATCCTTTAATGGCACACTTGGGACAAAGTATAATACACAGTTCAGGAAACATCTTGGAGCCAAGAAAAGCAATTGATATTTCCACAGAGAGTTCCTGACAAAGCTTGCCAATAGCTTCTTTCATTATAAAATATGACCATGAACACTATCGTTTTAAAGAAGTATTACAGACGCTCTTAAAGGCAAATCTGTTAGTGGGAACTTTGATTAAGGTAGTTCATCCACAAGTGCCTTTTATTTAGTTAAAAGGAACAGAACAAACCATCTCCATTCTTCTGGTTACTCAGGCCAAAAATCCTGTTATCCTTCTAAGTCAACTACCCTCCCCCCTCACACACACACACACACACACACACACACACACACACACACACAGAGAAGGCACTATCACATCTGTCAGTTCATCCTGTCAACTCCACCTTCACTGCTGCCATGGCCACCACCCTGATCCATCATATCTCTCACCTGGATATAGGCAATAGCCTTGTAAGGGATCTTCTACTCTTGCCCCTTTCAGTCTATTCCCAACACAGCAGCCAGAGTGAGCCTATGAAACATAAGTCATATCATGTCAATACCCTAAATCTTCCAAGACTTTCTACCTCCAACAGAGCTAAAACCCAACCCTAACTGATGCACATGCCCCACCTAATCTACGTACTCCCACCCCACGAGCCCTCTGACCTCATCTCCAACTATTCTCCAACTCAGCCTCTTTGCTGTCCTTGAACACATTAGGCACATATTTGCTGTTCCCCAAGATCTCCACAAGGATAGCTCCCTCACTTCCTTCAGTTCTTACTCAGTCACCTTTTCAATAAGGCCTTCTTTGGTCACCTTATTTAGAATCTCAATCACATCCCCAAAATTCTTCTCTCTCTTCATTTAATTAATTTATTTTCCATCTTCAGTACTTATCACTATTGAGCATGCTGAGCATGGTATTTTATTTACATTATTATGTCTTTCCCAGTGACATGCAAGCTCCACGAAGGCAGGGATTTTTTTTTGCATATTCGCCCACTGTTCTACCCCAACACTGAATATAGTACCCAACACAGTGTCTTCTAGACAATTCCATCTTAATGTGCTACTATCCTTTTAAACTCAAAGCATCAAAAACCACTCTAGTCTTTCCCTTCACAGCAGTTCCCTTTCTGGTCTCTCTTTTGACATCACATCTTAGACCACATCTTCAGGCCTTTGAAACCCACAACCACCTCTGACTCTTATTCCAACTGAACACACTCCTTCACCAAAGCCTTCACTTTTCTTCTTTACAAGCGTTCTTTAAAAAAAAAAAAAAAAATGTATCTTTATTTCAGAGAGAGGAAGGGAAAGGGAGAGAGAGAAACATCAATGATGAGAGTCACTGACCGGCTGCCTCCTGCACGCCCCCTACTGGGAATGGAGCCCAAAACCTGGGCATGTGCCCTGACCAGTAATCAAACCATGACCTCCTCGATCCTAAGTTGATGCTCAACCGCTGAGCCATGCCAGGCAGGCTACAAGCATTGTTATATCTCCACAAACTCCCTGGTATTCTCAATGCCATCCTACAAATTTCTAGAAATAAAAAATCTGATTAAATTACCTTCTGACTCAAAAAAATTTTAAGAATTTCTCTTCCCTAGAGAAACCAACTTTCTGATCTTAGGCTTACCATTCAAAGACTTTGACCTTCTCAATGTCCACTGACCTTTTTTGACCATTTTCATCTTACCTGCCAATATCTTCCATTACCAGCCATTCACAGGCCACTGCAAACTCTTTCCTGGCTTGGATCACAGCAACCCAAGAATAGGGTTGCCGTGATTCTAACACTTAGAACTGTGGAAACTGTCTCCCTCTTTCTACATCTCTGTCACTGTGGTAAGGAAAAATATATAACTCCCTATAAAAGTGGTTCAAGCTTGGTTTAGCTATTTAAGAAAACAAGATTGTCAAATAAAAAATGACAACAGCCAACACAACATTAGCCATCCGGTGCAAATGAATCAAAATTATACCTTTCTTTTTTGTCAGATAGGCAAAAAATATATTTTTTGGTGTGCTGCAGAATTTTAGTAATTAGTTTGTGTGTGCCATGAGATGAGAAAGTTGAAAAACACTGTTCTACTGGGCCATGACCACATAAGCACCTGTCTCCCTATAATGAGCCACCTAAAGCTAGACCAGGCGAGGATGGACAAGTGAACTCTTAGCAGAGATGATGCCAGAGAAAGCAACATGCTCCAATCTCTGAAGCATGGCAGGCTTTCTTCTACCTCAGCAGGCCCAGAACTGGAGGCCTGGCAGGTAAACAAGATGACTCCAAGAATCTAAAGCAAATTTCCCAAGATCCTTGAATAAACACTGACCTGGTTTTTAAAATATATTTGTCTAAGGGGTTTTTGTTGTTTTTAACTTGTTTGGCCCTA